TATATATTTGATTACATAAATTCAATAAAAAAATATTTTATAAGGAATAAATAAAAATAGTTTGAAAACAGTTCTTTTATTAAAATCAAAATTTAAGAGTATTTCAATCATTATGAAATTTGAAATTAAACAGGAAATAGAGAATCTAAACAGATTAAAATTATCTTTCTAAATTTTTTTGCAATTTGTACATGAAGCTTTATGATTTTGTAATTATTTATACTACATTCATTTTTAATTTTTTTAAATAGAAAGCATGTCTCTTTAATCTTAAAGAAGTGAATCAAAACAAGTTTATAAGTTCAAAAAATTGTATTTAATTGGAATATTAAAATTATAATAAGTGTTATATGTTATGATTACAATTAGTCTAAATTTGATTAATGAAAAAGTTATTTTTTGGGATGAATGCATATGATTTAATAAGGGAAATAATTGTCATGTGTGAAGAGCACAAGAATAATACAAAAACTTTTCATATTGACAGGATATAAAATAAAAATAACAAATTGAGTGAAAAACATTATAATATTTGATATTATGTAAAAAAAGTAATTATTCATCTAGATGAGTGAGTAACTTTGATAAGAAAGTTCAAGAATGTGAATATATTGAATAAACTAAATAGATGATAGCAACTAAAATATCAAGTAAATTTGTCTTAAAAAAATATTGATACTCTTTGCATACTTTTGAATGATATAAATTTGATTTGTGTTTAGAGTGCTGATATTTTTTTTATATTGATGTTAATTTTAATTTGGGATAAAATAAAAGATCTGCACACAAAGAATCTCAAGTGTGTTGAATAGATTTGATAAAATATGACAGTGCAAAAAATTGCAATTATTGATTGACAACAATATTTGAGAGCTTGTGAAACTTCTTTATGATAGACAGTATTCAGTTTTCTAAACTGAATAATGATCTGAAACATAAAAGATTTTTAATGCCAAAATTATGATTAGTGAAAACATAAAAGACAAAGATGTTTATTACAATAAGACTTATTTTTTAGTTGCTAAATATGGAATATATATTGCATATTTATTACAATAAAAAATATTTCTTTGGTTGTTAACTATGGTAAGACTTCATTGTTATGTATATGTAATTGTTTTATCATAATTACATCATGTACATAAAATGTAGTTAGAAGTTTAGTTTATAAAAAATTAGATGAGATGTTCTTCACATATGAATTTTGTGAAAGAAAATCAACAACATATTGTTTGCAAGTTGAGTGTCTTAAAGAAATTCATAAAGCAATGAAACAAATAATTTTATGAAGATATAAAATAGAAACAAATTTTGTAAAATTCTAGTATATAAATGAAAGTACTGAGTTATGAACTTTGTATCTTACTTATTCTTATGGTCTAAATGAATGATATATATAGTGTAACTTAACAAAAAATTTTAATTTATAAGCTTAAATTTTTCTTATAATCTTATACGTTGTGTATAAAAAATCTTGGTGCATAAAAAACTAAGAGATTAAAATTAAAAAAGAATCTTCAAGTATTGAAAGATGTGATAATCTTAAGGTAAGTATACCAAAACAATCTGAGATATCGTTAATCATTTGATTTTAATGATCAAATGATTCATTAAGTTATTATCCTTGTGATTTATTGACTTGACGTGTTTATTTTATTGAATGATCAATAAACATAAACACAATATTTTGAGATTAGATTTATATTTAATTGCAACTTACATATCTTATGTTGATTTTTATCACATTAATTTGAATATTTTTTCCCATATATTTTCAAAATTATTTTTATTTTTATTTTGTTATGTTTAAAAAAATTTGTTCATGATATGCTTTTAACCACATAGATTGGCAAGAATAGGCAAAAACAATCCGGGTGTGCATTCTGCACTCGAATTTATAGTCAATACTCCAGCTTTATCCAGTGATGAACTCGTCAATAATTGATGCGGGACTCTGCACCCCCGATCCACCAATTTTACTGAGTGAGTAGGGTGAAGATGTTGATAGTAAAGTCAATACTTCTCTGTATGTGGTGCATCTTGTGGCGAGTTAGAATAAGAAGATGTTGGTGGCTTGGATAGTACTCCATATGCCGTACTTAGGAAAGAGTTGGAACCACAACTCGGTATTCAATATGATTTTAATTAGTACTAAATTCACATCATTTGATTTTATCTTGTGTAAAATTATCAAAAATATCGTATTAAATATAATTCAAATTTTTTTTATATTTTATTTTAAAATTTTGTATATTCTACTTCACAGTGTCAACTTTTTTACTTAGTATTGATTAAAAAAATTTGAATTTGAATTTTTTATTTTCTAATTAATTTAATTTATGAATATTGTTATTAAGAGTTTGAAACTCAAGATCTATATATAAATTTCTCATTCCTATAAAATATTCATAATGTTTTTAAAAAATTTAACATTACATGATTTCTTAATCTTTTTTTGATATGATTAAAATTGCAATTTGATAGGTTAATTTATACTATTTTTTTAAATTAAAATAAACTTAATATAATAAATTTTCAAATTAAATTATTGTCTTGAAGTTTTTCAAAAAAAACTGCTTTGATTATAGCATAATAAAATAAAATAAAATAATTTTTAATTATTTTTTAAAATAAATTAATATAAATATTTCTTTGTAATATTTTTTATGTAAAATATTGAGTGATTTAGATAGAATTTTTAATCACTTGATTCGTAAAGTTTATAAAATATTTCAAAATTCTGATATTTTTAAATATTTTGAAACTTTGGGTCCAACGCAAAAAGCATCACACATCGATAAACGTAGTTTACCTCCATATGAGGCTACGCTCACGGCCAAGAATAAAAGACTAAAATATTAGATCCCGACTCCATAGTCAAACTTTCAACAAATGCTCTATGCCAAGTGTAAATGTGAAACTAAAATGAAAAGTACTCATCCGTAAGAACAAATGATCCAACATGTAATAGCCCAAATATTACCTAGAGACAAAGTCTAACTGCAATTAGATTAACAACATTTAACAAGATGCTTTAAACGGTCAAATGCAATTTTTTCAATCATTTTCTTTCAAAAAATTTATAGTAAAAGATTTTGAAATTGTTTTATTTTTAATATAAATATAACACAAACATCTTCATATTTTGAAGTAAAGATAAAATGAATGTTAAATCAATTGTTGATGAATTGAAAAGTAGACATCTTAAAACTCGGATTGATCTGAAAATATAACTCTTTACTTCACTCACAATTTTGCAATAGCAATATATTTTGATAATGTTTCAAACCATAAATGATCATTTTTGACTATTTTTAAAAACCAATAATTATGTTTGAGATTATTAGAATCTTTGTCAAAATCTTTCTTAAATTTAAACATTGATTTGAATTCTAATCAATAGCCTACAATTTCATGCTTAAACTTCATTGAGGTATGTACTTAATGGGACCCTATTGGAAACTAAATTGCTTACTAAGACCCTTTAAGTTTTGTTTTACCCGATTGAACCACATCGAGTGTACACATCATGCATATTCTAGTATCAACAGAAATTGCAGGCAATGGAATAATGTCGCAGCAAGAACATGTTTTGATAAGCTCAGAGTGTCTTCTGACCGAGTCTCCAAAATCAATTTCTCTATAGAGCTCTTTTGTTCATTCACCATCCTCCACTTCCGCTTTCATGGAATTCTGTCACATGTCAGCTCAGACACCATCGCTCATGGATGCACCTGCGGCCAAAGCCGAAGGTGACCGTTTGATGAGCGTGAATAAGGCTCGGCTCTAAAATCTCTACCTTGACTTACCTCGCTCGGCTCCCTTGTTCATAATGCAACCAAGACCGACATTTGCTTCAGCAGCTGGATTTACAAGGAGAGGTGTCCAGTCCAGCACTTTTCATTCCACGTCGAGTGCAAATCTTACTTTCCAGATCTTCAAAATTTATAAACTATTTATAATGTTCAATTTAAATATTTAAATATTTAATTTTAGTTATAAATTGAGGTTTTTGAACTCAAATCTTGTACAATTTCTTTTTATCAAATGAAAAAATCTTTAAAAAAATATTCAAAGCCAATAAAAGAATCATTTGAAAAATATTAGTCAAACATGAGTGCAATGTTAGCTTGCAAAGGAGTAATTATTTCAGTCATTTGATACTCATATGTTGAAATAATCATGACTGTTCCAACAGTTATAATCAATAAAATTGATAACGTTTTTGTGGAAATTTCTGTCAAGTGCGACAATATTGTTAGAAAATCTACCACTTAGGATGTCAAGTTTGAATTAAAATCCTGAAACCTCTTATTATTTGAATTGAAGATTAAAAAAAGTAACGATGATGAAGTGCAGAAATTCGAATCATTTGGATCATAAAGTAAATTTTTATTTTGTCTTGTAAACTATGGCGATGACCGTCATGTCCTTGGTTGTAAATTATAATTGTTTTGGGTTTTATTTTATCAATCTTCACATCATACATGTTACCTTACATTGCACCGCAAGTTTTACCATGTTATGCATTTAGTCATTGATTACACCAGAATTTCTGTTCGAATACGTTAAACGGTTAGTATAGTGTTTATGTTTTCTTTCATTACACCACAAGTTTGTTCGAAGACATTGAACGGTTAGTATAATTGTTTCTTTCTCATGTCGAAAGACTATAAAAGATTTTTAATCAGTTTTCTCTGCATCAATCTTAGACCTGTACTGTATCATCTGCCTTCGATATTCAACTTCAGTCGTGACGTTAAACATGTACTATTTTCGTATAATTTATTGATTGTAATAAATTCTTGCATCTCACCTTACATACAGTCCTATAATTGTGTGATGTGAGTGCATCAAGGTTATCTACAATCATTTGCGTTTCGCATTAACATGAATACGTTTTGGTGATGAACGTGTGAGGTTTGACACATACTTCGGCATACATCATATCACATTCCAAAACTTCGGGTGGGATGTAGTCCTTTTCTCAGTGCATGATTACGAAGAATAATGGCAATTCTGCCATGGTAGCTTATGATTTTGACAGAAACTTCTCCGCTACAAGATTGTATAGTTGCTCAAACGGCTAACCAGCCCATGTGCAATTTGGAAATCGATCAATGGTTTGAGTGAGAGGCTTGAACTCTACATTTTCAGTAACCTCTCTTCCCGTTTCCTACTAATACATAATATAATGTACACTACATTAACTCGCTAGGCTCATTGTGAAGAGCGTTCCTTCGTCTCACAAGTTGTGCGGGTACTTGCCCTCGAGCTTTAAGCTGAGATAATTCTATATACCCCAGACGTGGACCGGGGCCGTCGAGAGTATATTAGTCTGTACAAGGCCCTACTTCTGTAGAGATTGTTGATGGTTAAATTTGTATTCTTGTCAGCTTCTAAGTTGTCGTAGTAGGTCAACTGAGAGGAGTAGAATATGTCGCTACTTGTTACTCTTACGAATTCAAATAGTGTTCTTTATAGAGTGTGCGTCTAACCATCTCACAATATCATCTATAGCCTGATTGACAGTCTCGTCGGGTTCACCTTCTAACACCGCATGCCAAGCATTTTCATACAGATGAAGCGTCTTATCTGATGTAGATGCCTTCTCATACAAAGCTTTGCTCACGGCCGGATCTGTAACTCTATCAGCTGCTCCATGTAAAATCAATAAAGGCAGTGATACCTGTTCAAAAATTACCAGTTAGGCTACGGTTTCTTCCTTGAACCTAATGAATGGCAATCTACATTGACAGTAAAATGATCCTTAATATATATCATACAATGAACGTCAAAAAATTCATGGCTACAAATATACGCGTACCTTATGTAGTTCTTTTTCAATCTCATCAGTTGCATTCAGCAGTGACAAAGCTGTACCAAGTCGAGGTTTACCAGTGTATGCAATCATGTTCTGCATAGCCTGCGTATGTGGAAGTAGTTATTAAATATCAGATTTCAACTTGCATCCTCAGAAGTCTGCGGCACTAAAAATCTCGAATCAGACAAGCGCATGATTTTATGCGCGCTCTAACGCATGACCATTCGTTACCTGTGCTCTTTTCTCCACATCTCTGAATCCAATCTCTGCGATATCTCCACTTGGGACAAGTTTCGCTTTCGGAATCAATTTCGCAACGAGCTTCAAAATTTCTATGGTATACCAGGGTGGGTACATATCTTTAGCAATCTGGAAAAATCAAAACTGTCATCAGATGATTTCAACCTTCAACTAACACAGTACAAGTGTTTATCGTTTCAACCAAAACATGTGTTTGTACCAACATAAACTCTACGACAGAAAGGAAATGGTCTTTCGAGAACCAATGAGCAAAACCTCTACGTATCATCGTTTTTGTATACTGCAGGTTATAACCGGAACTCATACCTTGCACATTGGTGCAATTAGTACAGCACCATCCCAGACATTTGGAAACTTCAGATGTGCTTTCAGAGCTACAGCTCCACCCATAGATTGCCCCATCAAAAATAGCGGCAGATGACTGAACTCCTCTCTCTCTGAAAAAGTGACAAGAAAATTTTTGGAGAATAGACATTCAACAATTAGAAAGTAGTCAATACGTGGCACGGTCCAGAACTGATCAGTGGTCAGCTGAAGAGGATGCGGAAAAATGCTTTTTGAAACTGTCTAGAGAAAGGATTAAACCAAGCCGTGAATGCTATAGGTTGGAAACAGTTACACTTAAATCTCACTGTAACTAAAATTGCTCTGATTTCAATTGAAGTCCTTACTTTTTATTGAGGAGTAATGTTCAGCAACATCTTCCACGAGCCGGTCAAAACCTGGAATGTAGGCATGAAGACCAGCAGACATGCCAAATCCGACATAGTCCATAGCAAAGACAGCAAAGCCTTTGGCTGCCAGTGCTCTTGCAACAACTGCACACACAAAGATTGTTAGTCACTACATCTAAACCTCAAATCTAGCACCACTCATTTGCGCTAAGGAACGTTATCATCCTGCCCTAAGCTTGTCCACTGCAGACTGGTATGTCTGGAATATTCAATTTTTATTCCTCCTCCCTTGACGCTGGATTGAATAAACTATAACTGTGAAGTTAGTCCTCTTGAATTCCTCTTTCCTTGAAAAAAATGACTTTTTTCTCTACCAAAAATCTAGTAATTGTCCACTACACATGGAGGTGATAACCCTTTCTTCGAGAGTACTGAAAATCTAAAAGCACTAACGTAGATATGTTGTTAGACTGGCTTTACTTCCTCACCTTCAAAAAAAAAGGTGCACGTGTCCCCATATCCATGACAAAAGCAAACGGAAGCTTTTGGAAGACCAATTTCAGGCACCCAACTTTTGGTGAAGATTTCCAACCCTCTTGAATTTACTTCGAAAGCCTGCAACAAGGTACCATGCAACATTAGACTCTATACTTGTTTTTGGATTATTACTGAAGGTGATATATTGAGTACTTCTATAACACATCTCCTATTTCTCTCAATACATGTATGATCTACAATCTGACAAACTCAATATGTACCTCTGAAATCTTCAATCCGGGTACATCCTCGTCCTGAACAAAGACAAAAAAAATGTAAGAACTTTCGTCACAGCGATGATATAGACTATGCAAAATATGATACTGACCATTTCGTACTTTCAGTGCAGATTTAGCAGTTTAAAAGGAACGTTAATCATGTTATAAATCTCTGAAACACTTCTAGCGGTGGGATTGATACAATAGCATATGCACAATTTCGTCGGTACACTTACTTTTAAACAGCTAAAATATACCACAAACATGTACCCATCAAATATAAGAAATCTCAAATCTCACCATCTTAAAAGTTGTCACACCTTTGGGGTCACACCTTTATTCTCAAACCTTGTTCTATGGAATCACACTGATCGTGAGACACAGATGTACAGTACTAACTGGACTTTGCTCTTCCTATTCCCCACTTAATATCCTGGGAAAAATATGCTCCCACTTTGATCTATTCTTCTCCTCTGTAGTATTAACAGTTCATCAACATGCATCCCGTGGAGATTACATTTCGCTTCAAGGAAGTTAATTCAATACTTACTGGAGCATAAGGGTAGCTCTCAGGTTCAGTACGTTTTAAGTACAACTAAAACTGAAAATTCGTTTTGAAAAAAAAGAAAATTAATTTACAGATCTGCGATTGTGGCTACTAAAAAAACTACTACTAGACAAGTGTTCTATCCTCTTGATGCATACTTTGAACTTGCCGACTCCAAAGCAATTCAACTTCACCAGACAATCTGTAGAGATTCGTTATCAAAACATAACTTTCTATTCAGCATCAACAACGAGAACTTGCGAGACAAATTCACATTATCTTCAACGTCAAATTGTCCTTAAAAAAGGTCAAAAACCAAACCTCCCTAAAACCTTCGACTTTTGATATCTTAAGCCTATCAAAGGCATCATAAGAGAGCGAAAATATTCTTGAAATATGAACAGAGGACCAAAACAAGTTCAAAATGCTTCTAATTATCTGTCTTTTTTGCACGTGGTCTATGCTCATGAGAACCATTTCTACTACTCAAGATAGTTGATTCCGGCATCGTGGTTCTTTCCAACTTCCTTAATAGATATTTGTCAGCTATTATCACGATTCACTCTTCGCCTTCTTACGGTAGCCCAACTTGTTCTTCCCAGACAAGCTTTGACAGGTACAAAGAACTCCCAAGTTAAATTTGCAATTTCACCAAGAACCTCAAGCAGATCAGCTAAGGCGCAAGCTCTCCAGTTTCCAAATTAGGCTTACTAACCTACTGAAATTATTTGTAATCCAAAATCAACAGATTGCATCTACAAAAAAGCGAAATATATTGAGGAAGCAGCGTATAAAATTTATAAAAAGGGAATGGGCTGATTGGGATTCGTCTTGATGAACAGGCTTACTTCAAACTCTTATGAACTACAAAACTGTTAATTGTATCTTGGGGTTCGGCAGAATCATGACATTGTCCTGCATTATATCTCTCTACTGAGAATATCGACGTGAACAAAGTGATGCCACAATACAAACATATATACTATTATTTGGGTTATGCAATATGGAAACAAATTGCATCGTTTAAAAAGATCACCGAAGAATGATCAGCAGCGGGAGTGATAACAAAGAAAAGAAGGACCACCCTTCAGATGGTCTGAGGGAGGTTGGGAGATATTATATGTCTATTGCTTACACCTAATAAAATAACAGAAGGCAAGGAACCCGTCTAGAGTAGACAAGCGTTCGATACTATGATGCGAAACAAAAGGTACTAGATCCAGCCGATAATATCTATCAGCTCTAAGAGCTTCGCATCGACGTCGGGTACAACCATACGTCAAGTCAAATCAGCCAATAGAGCTTACTGAAATTGGTTAGAGATTGAACGATTGAATTGTATCCTGACGTCAAAGTGTTCTGTCGAAGTTGAGTGTTTCTAATTCAGGCGCTAATTCGTTGAGGTGGAAAACTTTCCACCTTAATGACAGGACTACTGACATATCAACAATCCAAGGAGCAGGTTCAGCCTTCAAATCAACTAGACCTCCCAACGATAAGGAACTGTGAAGCGCAATGAAGAGCATTAAGTATTGTATGAACTTACAGCACAGATTCCGAGAATTTCATTGATTTGGCTTCTGAACCGAGCACGAGTTTCTCGCCTTGCCGCTTCCCACTCCAAACTTTTTATTTCGGGCCCCAGAACCTTGGCCTGCGCGGCCTCCGATTTCTTCTCGAGTACTGGAACAACTTTATTTGTAGACTCGCAATCCGAAATGCCCAAAATTGTGCAACCCTTCGCCACCAGTACAGCAATCCTGGGCAAAAGCGATGAGAACCGCAACTGAATCAGCACTGCAGTGATCAAGAGGACGACCACAGCCTCTGTAGAATAGGCAATTGGTCCCCATTTCCCTTGCGAGGTCTGCGTCGAGGCACTCGCTGCCTCCACAGCGCCCACCATGACGATGTATTCAAGTCAAAATCCTGTTCACTCGATGTTCTCCTGAGCTTTCTCGTTCAGCCGTCACTCCCTGAAGCCGCGATCGGAGATCAGAAAAGGCCTCGGCAAGCAGTCGATCCTTGATGTTCTAGGGCAGCGAATTGATACTCTCTTTGTCAACCAGAAAACCTTCAGACCCGAGGATCTATCGTCCGAACCTCCTGACGCAAAGGCTAAGAACCGCAGAAGCATGCACTTGGTCGAGGGGCGGATCTGCTTCGCGGCATGAGCTCCAAGCTGAGGACTGTACCAGTGCCTACGTCTCACACACTTCCCACGGGATGCATGGCAATGGAATCCGAGATGAACCTCCGCCAAATAACACGAGCGAACCGGTCCTCCAGGACCTTGTCCTCTACGGTGGATTCAAAATTCCGAATCACAGTAACACAACTCTCTACGTGTCCAAAACTCAACTCGACCAGCACGACTCTGTGGATCATATGCAACCGCAAGCGCGACAAACACACGACTCGAGGAGGCAAGGCGAGGCAGGAGGCTGATGAATCGATGAATCAGTCCACGGCACGCGCCCAAACCAACATTTCACAAACTTTGCCTACAGGCTAATGGATCTTCGACACGCGGGCAGGTCCCCGAGGGAGGAGGAGGTGAATGAGAAGCCGGGGAAGGTGAAGGCGAGCGGGGGGGAGTAAGAGCGATTTGTGGAAGGGGGGAATTTTGTCCATATATAGACTTACAGTTAGATTCGTTAGATGGGTCAATTATCCAGAAAGATCACAATCGTTCCCAGCTCCCCCTCCACCCCCCAAGAGCTGCAAGCACGCACGAACGGGCATTTCCGAGCGAGAGGGACCAGAAAAGCACTCTCGTCAGTCCTCTCGTCATACTACTCTGCTCTCCTCCTCCTCCATCCCTCCCCTCCCCTCCCCTTCCCTTCCATTCCCCAACCACTTCGATTGCGGCGTACGATTTCTCCTCCCAATCAGAAATCCGAAGTCTGCGCTTTCTCGTCTCGTGAACCGCGGAGCCCCAGAGCTTCGCAGCGCCACTGAGTGAGCCTCTAGCGGCATCTCGTGCCCCTGGCCGTGCAGATGGGGCGATCTGACGGCGCGGCCCCGGGTGCCAAGTTGCACTTTCTGAGGAGCCAATCCGACTCGCTCTGAAATGACACCTGTACACTCTCATGCGAGCTAGCCACGTGGACGCGAGCGCTGCTCGGCCGACGTAACTCGTGTCATTTGGAATCTCTGGCACCACCGTGAGTGAAGCTTCGTCCTGCGTTCGGACCGGCGGCGACCGAGTCGACCGAGGACGTGCCACGTCGCCGCTCCGGAGCCGCTGAAGCAGCCCTCCCTGACCTGGCCATCCTCTTCCCTTCGGCTCGGTCGCCGGTTTCTACGACCGCCGTCGTCGTCGGACGGAGCCGCTCCTTCGCTTCTCGCCGCGTCGGACTTCGTCTACCGCGTACCCCTCGCACTCACCACAGTGTACACGGCGTCGACTGCGGCACGTCCGGTCCGGTTCCTTAGACCGGACGCGCAGGCCGATCTGAGGAAGGGCTCCATTGACCTCCAGTCCATGGCATGCGATCGAGACCGGCTACGACGACATGAAGTCGCGGATTCATTACTGCAGTAGTAATTTATCGCAGCCCTCGTGGTAACCCCGTTCGAAGCATTAATAGACTTATTAATCCTTCTCGAAATTACATTAATGACTTTAGCAATTAAGGGAGGGATTTCCCCGCCCCCTTACGGTCTTCTTCGGCATAATTCTTCGTGCAGGGGACACCCTCGACCCTTCGGTTGGCAGGACAGGACGGACACGGAACAAACAGTTATTTCGTGGAGGAGATCAAACCTCAAGAATTAGGATGCAATGATTGAACGATCGATCTGAGGGTGATGGCCTTTTTTTACGGATGATGCCGTAGGGCAAATACGATTGAACCTCGGCCACGCGTTTCGTGGAGCCGGATCCCTCGATTCCCATTCTGCTCAGCTCTTGCAGTCGAGAGAGAAGTCGTTGGCGAACGAATTATCCGATTTGCGGGCGACTGCGACTTCGCAGCCTTGCACGTGCACGCTCCCCGCCTCCCTCGGTCATGATAGATTCCATCCATTGCGTTGCAACGCATCATGTGCCAACATTTGCTCGAATACGAACGTACGTCTGGCCGCTCATGGCCCCGACCGTCCCTTCCATGCATGCCCCTCGGATTCCAGACAGAACGTCCGGCGCCGGGCTTTGAAGCACAATCACAAATCGAACGTCAGGCTCGCAGGCCGTTCGCAGGACAGACAGAGCCCGAGCCCGAGCCCGAGCTGGAGCTGGAGCTGCCCCCCAACCGTCTTCATCATGTCAGTCTGGATTCCTCCTTGTCCAGTCTGTCTACCACTGCTGCTGAAGAAAGTCTACCAGTCTCCAGCACGACGGAGCGACAGCAGGACACCACCAGATAATGAAAGGTATTTCCCTGCAAGTGTTTTGTAATCGCGAAGACGACAATTCAAGTCACGATGCGTAGGATTCCCCGTCCGCCACTTGTGCCTTGTCCCGCATACCACTCCAGGGGTCACTCTACTCATGCTTCTCTTTTTCTTAACGGGCATCAAGAAATAAACTAAGAAGCACATGCTTCTCTTCCATCCCGTCTCTAGCATAACGGCAATAGAAGAGGGCCGCAATCAAGTAGCGAAAAGGAGTGCGAGATACCATCACTTGTAATAAGGATGGAACCCAACCTGTTAACGTGGGGCCATATTCCAATATCATCACAATGAAATTTGAACGATATTATATTATACTTATCCAAAACATGTAAGTCAAAATATACCAGCAGAAGAATCTTCATATTGGTAGAGTTCTAAAAATATTATACTTGAAATGTGTTGTTAAATGAGATACCTTTGTGTGAGCTCTCATTCATTCCAATTGACATACAGGAAGTGTGTGTATATGTATATCTAAAGTAAGAATAATAACAGTTGTGAACACCTCCACACTCGGAGCTTATTGCAGACTGCATAGAGGTAAATTGACATACAGTAAGTTAAGAGCAAATACTGGGAGTATCCACTAGGGATTAGACTACATCGATTCCGGACAATGTACTTGATATCAAGTGAATAGACATTGGATCCAAGACAAGTATAAAGTGCATCGCAATCGTTTCACGGTCCAACTTTACATCATGGTATGAGCAAGGTTGCTAGAAAGAGGGTTTGCATTCACGTTGTTATGGAGCCACAGGTAATGAGTATGATTACATGTACACGATCCAGCGAGATTGGAAACATGCTTAGAGCCCTTCTATAAAAGTACCAAGAGATTTTCTTTTTACTAAAAATGTTTAGCATTCTTTGAAATAAAAGTAGAAAAGAGAGTGAGTATGTGTTTGTGGAGGCACAGACTTCCATATCGAAAACCTCGTGGGGTCAAAAAATGTTCAATATTGTGTGCAATGATTCACTAAAGAGAACGTGTTCATTTCGCTCGCTGAACTGTTAGACTTTTGAACAGAAAAGGCAGAACACACACACTTTTTCACACAATTATTTTGGAGCCTGGTCTTCCATGCACTGAAAGTAGATCAAGACATGATGGTGAAATCCACGAATAGATCGGGAGCATTATGGGTTAACATCATTGTTTCAGATTCGCTTTGATGTGTCAGTTTTCCATTCCATTATATTCATTTACAGATCAATGTATGGAATATTAATGGTATCGAACAAGCTCTCAATTGGTTGAGTTGTTAAATCCTTATTTTCCCAAGACTAGAAGCGATCAACCTAGTGTCTGCTAATCTCTCTTACATCAATCGCAGTTTACTTGGCACATCCAGCTATACAATTGGTTGAGATTGATATCAGTCATGTGTATACGAACATTCTAGTATAAAATTAGGATGCTCGTCTTAACATTTTTTTCCCAAAAATGTTAATTTGACTCAATCTAATAAAACTGGAATAAGGAATATCTTCTGAACATCTTTTTACTATTGACCTTGTATCATATGTTTCATTCTTATCAAAATCGTAGTAGATAATTCACAACCACATTCAAGTCATAAAAGACTTGAAGAGTAACTGAGGTATTGCAAATTTATTTGAAAGATCCCAAAACCTCAGCAGTTTGATTTCTACGGAAGTAGCTAAAACAACATCAATGAAGATGATAAGGAAAGGTAACTGCATGTTCTACAAAGATAATTCACTGACTGGAAAGCTAGTTGTGCTTCAGAGAGAACAAAACTAACGAAATCTGAAATTTATGCTTCTCGGCAGGACACATGATGAAGACAATACAAGAGACCCACGTCCTCGAACAAAAAGTTGGAAGGCGATCGAAATGTGAGCCACGAGGCAAGATAGTAGAAATTCAAGGGATGTGAAAACACCCCCAATGATAAACTAACCTCTAACCAAAGTTGGATTTGACTGACCTATTTCGTAACCCATCACTTTGCTAAGAGTCTTCTTGGTGTGCTGCTGAGTTTATCTGGAACAGATAGGCCATGCTGTCCTGTGTAGACTCGACAAAGTGTGGGCCAACGATACTGAAAAAAATTGTATATACAAAGGCCCCACGAGTCCAACGATACCTGGAGGTAAGCTATAGGTCTTATCCAATCGTTTGATGAGATCGGGGCCTAGCCTCATCCTACCCTTTTGTCATCTCCGACCGACTTGGTGGGGTGAATATTCATCCTTTTTCGCTGGATTACTCGGTTTTGGTGTTGGATCTTATAATATTTGAACCGGGTGAAGGTCCGTGCGCCAGCACTTTTCTTAGTGGTAATATCATGGAGATCAATTTTTTGCGCAAGAGCACATATGCAGGTAAGAATACTATTAAAAGACCGAACATGAAGAGTTTAAGTTGACCATTGCAACTTCTGTATGCAGTGAGATCCTCTGCTTAACCAGCCTAATCGGTGTGAAAATAAGTGTTTCTCTTGTCCAATACTAGCTACTGCGTAAGAAGTCCGTAGAATGTGATTTCCATTTGTTAAAACTTATTATCAGAATGGATTTTTTTAAATAATTTCTTGGACACTCAAACTAAGCACTAAGGACACATTATTTTACAGGTCTTAGGGCCGCATGCGGAGTTTGTTAACTTCTACGGCTGCAAATTATGGAAATATCAGCGTTACATACACTCAGGGAGCTTTCACAGACTCAACACAAAAAAAGAGTACATACATGTTTATCCACTTTGAAAAATGACTTCAAAAATTATGTAGATGAAAGATTTCATGTCTTTTCAAATCATGTGGATGTAAACGCTGTGTACACTATACACAGCGTTTACATCCAAGTCACAAGCCATGGACAGCTGATATCGGTTCAGAGGTCGATTGATACTCAATTATGTTCAGACTTGTCATGAAACCCCTATCCATGTTCAGACAAGGACTTTCCCTTCATGGCGGAAGAGCCCAACAACGACTTGATGGGTCCTTTCCATCCTTTTTGTCGTTTTAGTGTGTCTCATGGCCAAACTAAGGAAGACGTTGAGGCAAGTCTTCTAATTCAAGGTATGCAAGGTCTTCGTGAAACTTTCCAGAGAACGGAGACTTTGATGAATTTTCCGAGCCTTGGACTCACAAAGTATCTATCGCTTGAAGACAGAAAGAACCAGCTTTGGGATTCTTGACTAGAGTACAGATCAGGTGGGGCATGCACTATGGATAAGGGCAAATTTTGTGGAAAAGCAGGACTGACTATGTGAGGACAGGATTCTAGATTCAACGAGAAAAGAGTCGCTTTTTGGGAGATTCAGGTGACGTACACATTTGGAGAATGTAAAACGTGACCTTTATGGCTTTTGTCGTAGGATTTGATGTCCCCTCCTTTGGCAACCTCATTCGAACCATTGATCTATATGACTCAACCATCGACGACGACTCGAGTCTATGGAGAAGAA